GACGAGTAGGTTTACAACACAGGATTACCAGGTCTATTCTTTGGGATTAGCTGAATTCAAACCTGTTTTGTCTTTTGCTTACATTTTCATGCATCGTGAAATTACGAGATAAGCGAGAACTTATTACGAATAAGTAGATGATTTTATGCGGTGGCGTTTTCTCGTAAACACGATATATTGTGTCTCGTGCATTCAATTAAAGACCTGTCATTTGATCGATTCCGATATAAATAGGTATAAACGTCAGTAAATCGGTAGGTTTAATGTTAACAAACTAAACGAATGCAAATATGAAACAATTTTTGTAATTAAAAAAAAAAACACTATCAATTTCTAAAAGCACCGTCATAAGATTAACTTAAAATTGCCAATTCTTCTTATTATAAAAATTCTCATAGAGCCAAAGGATTAATCCTGCTTTCTTTAATTTATTAATGATACGAACGTCGCGCATAGCGTTGTCAGTGATATTTAAATTAAACTCAAGGATGAAATGGGAGAAACGAACGGTCAGTGTGCAGTTTTGTGGCTCGACCAAGTGTTATTGACAGAATCTTGATCGTAAAATTGCATCTGCTCGTCAGGCAGTAAGTGCAGGGCAATTATCGAGTCCCGAGGTTAATAGATTTTTAAGGTAACGCAGTTTGCAAACCGTTCGTCAAGAAAGATGACAGCGGCTTACCGCACGTACAAATCATCGGGACAGTGACGGCGACGCGAGATTTACAGATCATAAGTCAGAGGCCCTTTCTTTGGGCGCGCGAGCGCGTCGATTTCCTTGCGGTGTTCCCGTTCCCGTGGACCAATAGAAAAATAACTATTAACTGGGGATAGGTCTAGATTTAATGATAATTTACAATCGGACATTTTATTGTTGGATAATTAAGTTTGTGTATAAGAAGATACCCGAGTTGAAATTTATAGTATGTCACAAACAGTTTCAGTCAATTTTCTAAAGATAGAAATCCCTTACGAAACTGCATCGTTCTACAATTTTGATTTAGTTTACTCTACGTATTACTCTATCCATATTCGAACCTTATTTTAACAGAGAATTTATGCAACGAAATTGTTTTCAGAAACGAATGAAACCATTCAAAAATGCTTTTAAAATTCGATTACTTGATAGAAGAAATATAGCTTAGCAATAATAATTCAATGAAATGATTAAAATTTGTAATTCAATGGTGCTTTTAACCAAGCAGTAAAAGGTCAAGATGAACAGTATGCGATAATTCTAACGGCAGTTACAGATAAACAGCTTGTTATTAGTTTATAGAGAAACATTAAGAGCCAAAGCGTATTATTAAAATACAGTTTAAGGAGTATAACAGTTATAGTTCATTCTGTCGAAATATCAATATAAGGTTTGCAGTATTTGTCGCGTACACGTTACTATTGTTCATACTTGGATTAGGGCTTAGTATAATAGTTGTACGTACGATCATTACGCTAGGGTTGGATTTATTATATAAACTTGATCACCAGTCCAACCTTGATCACGGATTTCTATTTCACTTCGTATTGAATCTATAGTCCGAAATAGCCGAGTGTCGGACTACCAAGGTCACAGAAAATAACGTCCAAACAAATGCGAATTATTTATTCTCTTCTAACAGAATGCCACGACTCAATTTTATAAATTTATTTCTTTTCCATGCTTTTTTCCAAACTACTGTACACTAGGCAACGCCTATTAAGTTGTGCTTGTATTTAGCTTAAGAGAGATAAGAGAGTGTTAAGAGAGACCGAGTTTGTTGAGATCCAAGATAGGACTAAACCCCGAGTGTCATCGTGAATCGAATCAACGCGTGAAAATGATGAAAGTGTAACGTTACCGTTGGCGAAATACAGAAAATGTATACGTGGTGATTATACATGTATGTAGTTACGGCAAGAAATCGTTGAGAATAATTGATATGTAGCATAGATAAACCGACAAATGAGCGGAAATCGTGGTTGTTCATTAATAAAAGCATTTTCGTTTCCCTTTCGCTGATTTATCTCGAATTAGACGATAAATTTTCCACGGGCATAGAAATGCTCGCAGAGCGGGAACGCAATTGCGTGAAACTTTTAATGGTGATTTTATTCCTTGCCTCAAAATATTGCCTGTCAAATGAAAATTTCTTCCCGTCGACGAGCGGAATTAGAAACGTTGCTCGCGATTATCGCAAGAATTTCTTGAAATTAACGGGCTAAAACGTTAAAAGACAGGAAGAAAAGGAAAACGTAAGGAAAATTCATGAACGCTTGAGACTTTTGCAGTTACAGTAATACAATACCGTATACGTAAAGTGTTTTTAAAGGAATTGTTTAAGGTCAGTAAAGAGACTAAGAGGTTCTAAGAGCAACCATTAAATTTGTGCTCTGTAAATTATTTGCTAGGATACATCAAACATTTACATAGGATACATAAAGAATTGCATTAACATTTACAAAGGATGTGTAAACATTCGTGAAACAACTAGAAATCATTCCAACTAATTTGTAATAAATTTACATTTACAGATGCAAGCGATGCCTTTTAAGAAATTTATGTACGATTTGCAATGGCCCAAAATAACTGGTATGCTCAAAAAGACGTCCATTGAATAAAAAGGATAGGAACTCAGCCCTACAACGGTGACTTATCGAAAAAACGTTGACACCTTAAATAAAGAAAGAAAAAGTGCCTTTCAAACAGTAAGCAAATGACATGTAAGCAAAACACAAGCAAAGCTTGGTCCAAATAACAAAGCAAAGGCAACGCCAGAACTTATTGGACAATCGAATAGATCCAGAATAGCTCGGGTACCGGGAAAACAGATGGGTTCTCCAGTGGAATCAGTGGTAGAAGGATCGCATCGTTCCTAGACAGCTTTTGAAAGGCAGTTCGACCGGGAATCGCTCACGAACGCGGTTGTCCAATCGTGTTGACCGAGTTCCTGGTCGTCGAGGCCACGTAACAAAAGCGGAAGCACCTTAAAGGGTATTCGTTGCGGGGTAGCTGGTTATGAATCTGGCTTGGAGACGATTTCCGTTAACGGTAGAACCAGTTCTCTGATCTGCTCCTTCGACGCACCGAGACCGCACCGCACCGTACCTCTAATTACCACGTTCCCCCCGTCTCTTCCTCTTCTTCCTTCTCCTCTCTGTCATATCGCGATCCCTCCACGAGATATTCGTTTACGTAATCGGCAACACGCGAACGTTTTACCTGACTCGAGAACGGAGTGAGTCACGAGTCCCGGAGCGGCAGCGGAAAAATCGAAACGACTATACGACTCGTCGATTGTCGTCCCGCGGTCGACGGCGCGCGGCGCAACGGAGAAACAGACAAAGATGCGACTACGAGGCGATTTTTCTCCTCTGACGCGATTATACGGATGGCTGGTATCCGAGTCGATGTTGAAAATTCATCATCGCGAAACGTCTACTCGTCGAAGCATTTCGCAAATCGTATTTCGTTGTGAAATACTCTGGGAACTTTGCCGATGAGATTGCTCATTGGTGTCGACGTTCTTGTTGATTTTAATTGAGTCCGATCGAAACCGATACGTGACAACGATCGCTGCTCGAAATATAAATGGACCAGTGTTCCTGAAACTGGTATCCGTGGTCTCGTGGAAGTTATTAGACAAGTGATTCACGAAATTGATCACGTGACAACGACGTGGTTCGAGTTTCCTTGAAATACGGCTTTCTTCGAACAATTATCACTCGGCCGCATAATTGCTAGTAGTTCATCTTTACATAAGTACCCTGGCTTCATAAACACGAAGATCGGCATCAAAGTAATGCGGTCTGATGAAAATTATAGGCGATCTAACGCCAGATGGTGCGCGTTTTAGAATTTTTGATTGATGCTCGAAAATATTAAGAATGTCATTTTAGTTGAATCAAACAAAAACAAACAATTCGTGATAAATTAGAACCTTGTACAAAGATATTCGATTAATTAAAATTTCATATGCGATGCGACGTTCGTTTCCAATTTCGTGCAATTGTGCATGGAATTTTATGGATTAATTTATAAAAACTGATGTAGTTTATGCCTAAAAGCAATTTCGAATAGTTTCACGGAAGAAATTGTTTAGTTAACAGGTTAAACTGCTGGTTTACAAGCACCAACCTAATATTTCGCAATATTGGTACAACCAGAGAACAGAAAGTCGACCATACGTTGTTAGTTCGACCTCGGAATACGCGATGACATGCCTCCTCGTGTTGCGCGTCAGTTTGCACCTTTTTCTTCCACGGGTACGGTAAGCCGCAGCCATCAGACATTTCTTCGTGGAAGAAGAGAGAAAAAAGAGATGTTGCGGACCGTCGCTGGCCTTGGAGATGCTCCTCCAAAAATAGTGAGCCGACCCGACACTAAACAGAATCGAACCTCTCGTTTCGCCGCGTTCCTTCCGCGTTTTTCCCCCCTCTCGAATACCACGTTAATTGTTCCCCACGGGCCATGACCATGCCATTTTTAGCAGCCGTTATTCCATCTCTACCTATAGATACAACCACTAACTCTAATATTCGGACATTTTAGAATTTCGATTTCCGCGATATGTGTACAACTTGCTCTGCCATGAAGGATAATGTAATGTTCCTCATTATGAACAATTTTTTCAAATATCTCACGAAGTAATCATTTTTTCACCGCTTTACCATCATACTCTACATTCTCTTCACACTTTTCTTTTTACTTTAAAATTCAGAAATTGTTCGAAATTACTTCTTTACTTCTTATATCATAAATTACAAGATTTGAAAAAAGAAATAAAAAATTAATAGTGTAGAATCCCCCCTCCCCCCATATCGAAGAATAAGGAGTCAAACAAGAACACGAATCGTAGGGTGAGCCATTAGTCGTGTAAGTAATGCTGTCGACTGCGGATCCGAAGATCGTAGTTCGAATCGGTGTTCGAATTCTCCGTGGCTTATTTTTCGTAAAGATTCCTAGAATAGTAAATTTAACAATTTTATCGACAATCTATTTTATGCATGTGTATTGTTTCCAGGGAAACAGGCCAAAGATGGACCGGAAGAGAAAAAGGACGCCGACGGAGAGCTGTGGGGCAACGTGGAAGCGCAGGCCGCCTTCCTCGGCCCAAATCTCTGGGACAAAACTCTGCCCTACGATGCCGACCTGAAGGTATTGAACCATGTATGTACAAAAACGCGAACACGGTAAGCCTACCCACCCGGCTGAATACGAATCCCAATCGCGTGGATCTATTGTGTAAATGTTGAACATGCAACTGACAGCGGTCGCTAATGCCTTACAAGCTGACGCGCCAATAACTAAATAAATAAATAACAAAAAAAGAAAAAGAACAGAAAGAAAGTTGATTTACTAAAGTTAAGTAGGAGGATTGAAAAAATGAGCGTGGTTCGCAACCTGGCGTTACTATTCAGTAATTCTGTTTCAAAAATAGGTCGACAGCATACATCGGAATGACTTGCTTGATGGTTCTAGAGTTAAAAATATTGCTCGAAATAAGAATATCTTTTGGTCTTTGAAATTTCGAAGACAGATGTTCCATTAGGTATTTTATAGTATCGATATAATTTTTTACGAAAATTTAAAGTACATTCGATACGTAACTATCAACTCCAAACTATCAACTATTTTGTTTTCTTAGATTGCTCTCTTTTTATTGATGGATATCCTGCAATATCAGTCCTTTTTACTTATCTCAAACACTTAACATAATAGACATACACGACAATATTCGATATACTCCTGAATAGATTAGCACGATCGAAAAACGATGCACGACAGTTGGTCTCCGTCACCTAGATCAAATCTACATAGTTAGACAAAGTCAGTCCGAAACTGAAATCGAAACCGAAATCGAAACGAGACGTTGTTCGTGTGTTGCAGTACGTGGATCTTGACGAGTTTCTCTCCGAGAACGGGATTCCCGTGGATGGCGCGGCTGGTGGCGGGCAGGGTACGATGCAGAGCGGACAACTGCACAAGATCAACAATACCGAAGCGGCAGGACATCAGGGACCGGCCGGTCTCCACTTGGAACCGGTCACCAAGCGCGAGAGATCACCCTCGCCGAGCGAATGTTGCTCCCCCGACACGATGAACCCTCCCTCGCCCGCGGACTCCAGTGAGTGCATTACTTTCGATTCATTCCGTTCTGTTCCGTTCCGTTCCGTTCGTTCATCTTTACAAGTAAAGCCACTTGACGGCTGGTGGCCGTTCGACGTGTCCTATAATCACTGTTGCCATATTAACCTTTTCACTGCGAAAACCGTAAAACATATACGCCCTCGAGTAGCGTAGGCTCGCTATCGGACAGTTTGGTTGAAAATCAACATACACATATACAGGGTATTTCCTACTTTTCCGGCAAAATTGTAGGAGCATGATCTACAAGTGAAAACAAGAAACACCCCGTATATCGGAGTTCAGTAACAAAACCAAGTCCGGAGTTCCGTGTAAGTGGACGAAATTTGTAAATTGGTCGAATCAATCAATTGTTTCAAAAACATCACCTTAGAAAGAATGACGAGACGAAACTTTCTTATATTTACAGTTCATTCATCCGACATTTGGTTTCAAAAAGAAAAATTGTAAACTTAAAAGTGTTTTCTCCCGAAATTAACATCTACCATCGCAATGACGTAGCGAGATGAAGATAACTTGTCGTTAATCGAATAACCGGACATTTAGCATGCAATGAGCTAATAATTCAGATCGTAACGAATTCAACTAACACCGAAAATGTCGATTGATCGTTCCCTCTCCGCGCGACAGATTCCGAGGACTCGTCACGAATACATTATGGCTTGTCTCTTGTAGCGCTCTCGATGGCCTCATCGGGGCGAGACTTCGATCCGCGCACCCGGGCCTTCTCCGACGAGGAGCTTAAACCCCAACCGATGATCAAGAAATCACGGAAGCAGGTGAGTTTAATCCCGTATCGCATTTTTACACGCGCTTAACGTGCCACAGTCGAACGGAGACTGGTTGCACGTGCAAGACGGCACTCTACGCCAAATCGATCACTTTTTGTATCGGAATGTCAGGGATATCGAAATACACCCAACTGTTTCTTTTTTATACACGATTTCGCTTTTCCATAGTTTTCAAAGCGATGGATTTTTACAAATAAAAGCTGTCAAAAACAACATATCTGTGCTGTACACGTAATGTATTGGTAAAATTAGTTTTTAACACCGTATACGCGTTGACACTGACATTGAACCTAAAAAAGAAATTTTCCTCTATTTTCTACACAGAGGCCTTTATACATCAATTAGAGTAATAAATCTTAAAGATACACACATCGTTGTACTTCTTCTAATTGGACATTTTGAAATTTTATATTTGAAGGTTGGTGATATATTACCGCAATCTTTGTAGTATTTTTATAATTCGATTAAATGTTTACGTCTGAGCATAGGCTGATTTGCTATGAAAAAATAATTAGACGATGTAGCGTAAAAATTGGGGATTTTCATATACCAAGATTAAAAGCTCATTTGTCTTCGAGGTCTTGATTATCATTTAATTTTGTACATGTTTTGATATTTAACAATCAATCACATTAAGCTACAAGGTAATCGATTTGGCACGTAATAGATCGTAAGAAGATCAGTTGAAATATTATTGGATTTTTCACGAATATAAATTTAAAAAAAAAAAAAAGAAATGTACGACTAACCGGTAGATCCTTTTATTCAAATTTTTCAATAATATATTTTCATATCTACATATGTATATTATAAATCACAAAATATACTAGCAAAAATTTGATCGTATCATTTCAGGATACCCTGTATGAAATAAGTTTCCTAGACTAGAATACTCTCCGAATATAATTTGTGTGTGATCTAGGATGTCTAATGTAATTTGTAGTCTTATCTAATTTCTGATCTAAGTTCTAATTACCTTCCGTTTCCTATGACCCACTGCCGTGGCCACAGTTCGTTCCGGATGACCTGAAGGATGACAAATACTGGGCGCGTCGTAGGAAGAATAACATGGCAGCGAAACGATCACGGGACGCACGTCGCATGAAGGAGAACCAGATCGCTCTCAGGGCCGGCTTCCTCGAGAAAGAAGTAAATCTTCCCACGCCTCTTAAATTAATGAACACACACATTAGAAGAAAACTCGAGTCACTGGGGTGTCATTATCTTATGCGGAAAAACAAAAACATACCAGGAGATATCCAACCATAATACACCCCAATTCTGTTTTTACACGGTTCGCAAACAAATGTAATTTCTTCTATTAACGATGGCATTTGATTTAGCATGGTTACAAAATGTCTGTTTCATTCAAATTTTAAAATTCTTTTTATTATTATCGTTGACTGTGATTTCCTAGAAATACCTCAGCCGTTAGACGTGTTTTTATTTTTGGCCAGGATTTCACCGATTTAAACATCAGTGTGCGATTGAACTTTCGTCGCGCGGCCTGTTACTCTGTCAAATTTCAGTGCATCGAAATGCAACTAATCGCACATTCCTTTGCAGAACATGGGCCTGCGGCAGGAACTGGACCGGTTAAAGAACGAAAACATGCTGTTGCGCGACGAGCTGAGCAAATACACGGACGTCTAACGGCGCGGCGATGAAGCAAGGCAACAGCTCGTCCCAGTGTTAAAAAGGACGCAGAAACGAGCGTTTGTTGCGTCGGCTCCTCCCACAGTTGTAGTCGCAGCACTTAGGTATCGCCAGTCCGGAAGAAGAAAAAGGAAAGGAGCGCGCCGAATCACAAGACCATCATCGACAATTTAACATGAGCCCACTTTCCTAGAGGATCCCGAGGATATCCTTCTACAAGTTCTGCTATTCATCGATATTTTCTCTCTCTCTCTCTCTCTCTCACAAACACACAGACACATTCTTCCTTTACCCACCTCCCCCTCGCCTGTCCTTCCAAGGAGAAAGTCTCTCCATCCCTGAGAAACCCGTCCCCAAAAAGTGTACATAGTTATATGTATAGTTAGATTATATGTATGTATACATGCATACATACACGGCCGTGTGTATGTCCTGTCTGTAAGTGTGAGTCTGTGCACGCGTATACAGCCGCCTGTACAACTGCAAACGCGTGCACGCGTGTACGTCTCTGTGATTATATACGAATACGATGGATATCGTTTCCTACACACTATCCAATGTATGTGTGTTTACACATCCATATATGTACACATGTACGTATGTACATAGAAGCCTACACGTATACACGCGGAGCCACAGACGTGGATGTGAGTGTGCGTGCCAGAACGACCTAAGTACACGGTACCAATGTTCTACGTGGGACTATTAACGAGCTTTTTTTCATCGATAGTACCGATAAGGGAGATACAAGTCTGTTTGTCGTTAATGGAGGTGAAAAGGTGAAGAGTGTCATCCACCCAGGATGGGTGTCTTTTGGCCGTACTAAGCACTGGCACGCACACGACTGAACGCCTCGTAAGCCGGGCCTGAGCTGATTAGAGTAAGAAGCGAAAAATGTATGAACGTAAGCACAGACAAGCGCGCGCGTAAACGATCGTCTCGTTGGAAGAAATGGCCGCCAATCACACGCGCTGGCTCTCGAGCTTCTGTTTCTTTCTTGTACAATACGGCCCGCATCTGATCGTGGATAGATTTTTGGTCTAACGTTTCCTCGTCGCTTTCTCGGCCTTTATCGTACCTCCTCCAGTCTGTCACTCCTCTTCGTAGGGTCCATGGGATGTCACATCTGTACGAAATACTTGTAGACATACGGAAATCTACAGCGGCCTATACAAGGGTTTTCTAAAGTAATGGACATAGGACAACTCCACGGTGATCTATACAGGCGATCTCTAGGGAGATCTATGTAGGGAATCTTTAGAGTTACCTATACAGGGTACCACTAGAGCAGGGATATCCAAATTACGGCCCGGCATAGCTTGTTTTTATTGTATTGTAAAATTTACACTGTGAAGCAAATCATACAATACAATGATCAGATGTTTTTATTTAAAGATTAATTAAGAAACACCATAACCTACATATATAATGTTACTGAACATTTTAATTGTAATTCAGAAATACAGTATGTTGGTATGATGTGCTAGTTAGGTCTTGGCCCTTGGGACTTGGTGGACAAGTCACTTAGCCCTTAGGCAAAAAAGTTTCAATACCCCTGCTCTAAAGTGACACATACGGATGTCTTTAGAGTCGCCTGTACAAGGAATCTCTAAATTAACAGGTACAGAGGATCTCTAGAGTTACCTATACAGGGTATCGCTAGAATAACCTATGCAGGGGATCTCTAAAGTGACTTAGATAGGGGATTTCTAGAGTGTTCTATATGTATATGAAATCTCTAACCTACATAGATACTTTGAAGGATAACTAATCTTTTTCTGGACCGATAAAGAAATTCTTAATTCTCCGGTTAGATCCATAACCATAAGAAGCATAAATTTGGATTGCGTTCAAAGCATAGACGTAACATTGCGATCGAAGACAAATAAAAGGAGACAAAAGTTGCGGTAGGTTCATTCTGATCAAAAAGATTATAGTATACAGATAGAGTAGGCAAGGCAGGTGAAAAAGAGTTAGACGAATAGTAAGTGAAAGAAAATTGTGTGTCCTTATCTAATAACGCATGCGCGGTCACATTTCGAAACTTTGGTGGGAGAGAAATATCAACGTCAGCTGTCAGATGTTCCTTGACTGCATCCAGAAGATTACCGCTTACTGAGCCGCTTTATGAGCGTTCAAGGAGCGAGTGACCGTAACAAATTTTTCACTCCGAAACATGGCGACCGTTCTTTGCAGCTATTGGCTGTTATCACAGAGCAGTTGCTATGAGAGCCAAAGTTTTTTAGCCTCACTCTCTGTGAGCGCTTACAAAACGGCTCAGTAAATGGTGGCCGTCTGAATGCAGCCAATATCTCTATGGGCTCAACTCGTCGAGCCTTTACTGACAATCCTGTGTATGACTCCTCTACTCTATCTACATGTATAATCTCTTTGATTTTTATCGAATTTATCGTTCCAATACGCAAGATTGTTTCGTTAAAAGAAAGCTAGCGGCTTAACGAAAACGCACTCGGTACTGGATCAAGATGGAGGAGGGACGTGTGTTTGAATCGGCGGTTAATCGAAAAGTAAATTACGAACGAAGGATACTTTGGAGAACGACGCTTTTCTGCGCACGGACTAGGTCCTAGTTCTCTAAGAAACGTTAATTACTATAGCGTATCCCACGTGGTGATGGTACACAAGTGATTCTAGTTGTTTTTATCGTAAGGTAGATCAAGTGCTTCTTTTTTTCATGCATAACAGTTTATCTCTTCTTTTCGTTCGTTTCGACGCTCGGTTTGTATGCCATTCAATCGTTCGAAGCAGCTCGAGTGCGGGGAAAGCATCGCGACGCGTCTTTTGCTATCGTTTCGTCGCGCTTCGATAATCGACGGATCCTCGAACAATGGATATATTCAATCTTTTCTTTTGTAAATACTTCAAGGTGAATCGTACTATTAATTTTCTTGCAATTCAAGATATCGTTGTATAATGTTATCCGTACGTTTCGTAGCATAAGATTTATCAAACGGAAATTAACGCGAGAACAATTGACGTTTGTTCCACAAAAGTGCAAATTTTTAAAAAATACAAAGTGCATTTGTTCGAAAAAAAAAAATTCAACCGTGAGCTCTATCGTTGAAGGTGCAGCGATCATAGATTTAACACGTTCATCGTTATGTCACTCATATATGGGTGACATGACTTTTCACTAAACAACTAAATAAATTCATTCCAACGATGAGAAGTTAAAGAAAATAATTCTGCATGGTACTAGTTTAAATTCAACAAAAGTAAGTTTCACTGTTTTATAGAAACAAACTGTTAGGCTCATATTTTTCACAAGTTTTAGTCTGGCAACGTGTTAAACGATAATTGAAAAAATTGTGCACCGAGAGGGCTATCGTTAGGCAACAACAAATGTGTCTCTATTCGTAGTCGCTTCCTCTTCTCCCATGAAGTCAATTTAATATATCGCTGCGAGTGAAAAAGTAGTCACGCGGCTTTCATGGATAATACATGCGACTAATATTTTACATACTGTTGACGCGTTAAATAAACGATGATTCTGCTCGTTACAACGCTCAGTGACAATAATCGAGTATAATTATATATATATATATATATATATATATATATATATATATATACATACATATATATATATACATATATATATATATATATATGTTTTTTAGCACTTTTTGCGACACAAAATCGACACTGAGAAAACGTTTCCAATAGAAGAAGACCTTTACATTATGCTTGTTATCAATTGTTTACATTATTGATTATTATCTTATCAGTTATTTTCGATTGCTCGACCAATGACTCCACGAATTCTCGAAGAGCTTATACTATTGTATCGTATATGATACGTTATATGTATATGTATATTTGTAGATAAACAGATAAAGAAATTAATTTTTGTAGGAGGCCTCGTCAGTGAAAGATTCGTTACGAACAATTTGTTTTTATATTGAGATAATTTTAGGTGAAAAGTATGATATCGTCCAATCGAAATCCAATAATTGTCCGTACTATACGGATTTCTTCTTTACTTTCGTGACCGTGCGTCAGAGCATCGTAAAATCGACTATGTTTTACAATTATAAATTTTAGTCGGATAGAAAATCCGTGTTACTAATCATGTCAACGTTATGGACATTGTTTTACACATTGTTATTCTATACATATATGTTCTATTTTTTTTTTCTGCCAAGATTTTATGCATGTTGTATAATGTGAAATTTTTGTAGTTGAATATAGTGTACGCGAGCGAATCTCGTGTCGCGGTCAAATCACGCGCGAAACGATTTTTATGTTCAAACCCAAACCGATCCGATTTCTCGAAGCGACTTGAGAATTCGTTCGAATGTATACCATTTAGAGCCTTCGATCTTTTTACGCGAAGAAGAAATTCACGTGTACACGTGACCCAATTCACGTAACATCGTGAATCGGGTAAATGGATTCACGGGAACGAAATTTCCAATACTAGCAGTTCTGGATGAATTTTGACATTGTTACAACTTTTTTAGAATATTTATGACAAATGCATTGTAAACTAATAAAATGTATTTTTTTTATAAAATGAATTTACGAGACTATAATTAAACTCTGTAATTCAAGACATTTTTTATTGAAATTACTAAATAAATCGAAATTACTAATTAATTTAAATTAGTTAAATATGTAAAAGAAAAGTCAAGGTACTTCCCAAAAGCATTTTCATCCAATACGTTCACTTTTCGAGAAAACACATTTTATTGCATTATATTAAATTTATAAGTATTTAAAAACTTGCGAAATTGTTGAATTTTATGTATTTGTATGTAGAACTGCTCTTACTTGTAATTACATTCATGGAAATCTTTTCGTGTGATTCACGTGATGCACGTGACTATCCGAGTCAACGGACAACGTGAAATACACGTGTACAGTGAGTAAACGTGAAATAGAGGGCTCTAATACCATTACTTGACCGCGAAACAGTGAAAGGCGGAAGTAATATAATTGTTATCTGTGCATAAACCAACAGTCGAACAGGCCGTGCGTATTAATTCGTGTATAAGTATTGATTCGTGAATGTTGCAAAACAAACATATTGTAAACCCCGCGTTCACGGTGAAAAGAAAAGAATACTTTTCTTCGAAAAGAATATTCTTCCGTGTGTGTAAATTATTTGTTATTTTCAACCGAACCGCTAGATGATTAGATATTCGAGTACTAGAAATGGCGCGCATTATAAAAATAGAAAATACACGGTGATAGAAGAATCGCAATCAGAATTAACTTGAATCATTCCCAAACTCTGATCGTCGTGCGCGTAACACTTTCACACATGTGCACACTAGACCCACGCTGCATCGGGGACGTGTACACCATCTAGCGGTGATTTGAGACATTTACGTAAACAATTTTTGATGTACAGGGTTGGTATAAGTTGAGCATAAGGCGTGACTTACAATTAGTTGACATATGACGAAACAGTCGGTGCCACCTATTCTTCTTATACCGTGGCTCGCGACTTATAGACCGTGACAAGAAAGTGAGTTTACGTAAAGCCCGATCAGCGAAAACGATGGGGATGTTCGAGACCCTTGAAAAAACTAGAATCGATTACCTAAAAATTCCTGTTGCAAACTACACAAATTCCTGATTCAACTCCACAAATTCTACATATTTATAATTAACATTGATTAGCTGTTATTCAACTGTTACCGAATAGATCGAGTTTTAAAAGTAGCAAATTTTACAGATGATCGGATAATATTCGGTTGCAACTGTCCAGTATACTTATCTCCCGTTTTACATGGTCTTCTTTTACACAATTTCCAAAATAACAGATTTCCAAAAATAAAGATTTAAAAACAAAAATTTTACGTTAATTTGGTAACACTGGTATTAAACCTTAAAAGAGGGGATTCCCGTTTATTGCACAGAAAAAGCATTCACTGTAGAAAAGTGCACATTTTGTGCGTCTTTTTACACTAAACTTTACAAATTTTATAGCTAATTGATTAGTGATGAATAATTATTATTTTAGAAATATGATTAAACATTCTATGAGTTTTGTCATATCAAAAGAAATTTACGATACTCTAAGGAACCGATCTTCCGTTAAAATTGGGGGTAGTATAATATAATGCTAATCAATTTGAAAAGTTGATAATCATCTAATTGTAAGAAAGATCGAGTTTCTAGAAATTCGATTCGGAATCAAACATCCCTAATGGACAGCATCATAATGACGATCGACACTCATTGTTTAAATTTAATTGTCACGTAGCATATATACACACGCCCACGCACACACACGCGCGCGCGCGCGCGCCATTTCTTGTATTATGCAGCCTAACCAAAAACTATAAAGAGAATTCATCGAAATGTTATATAAATTGTATCAAAGACTATTCAAGCGCGTCGAGTCTATGGTTGGACGTACACAACGGACAGAAATTTCCCCACACCAGCGAGAAAGAACCTTTTTGTATCTCTGCGTCGTAACCTTGAGCGTATAGAAATTGCAAAGGAAAAACAGAAAATCAAGAAGAAAAAAAAGGAGAAGCAGGCAGGGATTCTGAATTGTTTCCCGATTGCTGCGATAGGCGACAAAATTAGTTGTCAGATTTGTAAAACCGAGAGAAAAAGAGACACTCGTTCATGTTTCTCGAAAATCCATATTTCTATAAGTACCTTCTAGTACAAGTTGCTATTAATTAAATACGTCATAGCTTCCTAAGTGACCGATCTTGGATGTCGGCACGATTCAATAATATGCGACAAACGAGAAGCGCAATAGCATGGTCGATGATGCAAAAACAAAAGAATACACGTGTTCGTGCCTTTGCGCGTACACACACAAACACACACACACACACACACACACACACACACACACAGAGTCAGAGGTTAGTAAAGGGAAACCATAATGAAAATCGTAGAGAATTAGAAACACGATAGACATAACCGACAGCTTTGCTCCAATTAGAATTAATGACGATGATTAGAGGGAGGAAAAATTGATTTAAACAAAAAAAAAATACAAAAAAAGAGATGAAGAAATGGAAGAATTTAGATGACGTCGCCGCGTCCGTAATGACACGCCATCCGATCCATTGAAACGAAAACAGAACATGTGAGAATTAAAATACGACCACCTACGTAAAAGTGTATCACATTTCGAGAAATATATGTATTTGTTATTGTTTTCATTGATTTATATCGTTGTACCTCATCCCTGGATTCCTTGAGTATCTTATGCTTGAAGAAATCTGACGCCAGCTTTTGTATCTTGATTACATAAAGATCGCACTTTGTTATCGATATGTACTAAGCATTATGTATTTACTATATTTTTTCTTTTTACATACTTTTTCCAATAAGGTTTTGCAATTTTGGAGGCCGGAGGAACAAAAAAGCATTGCGACTCATCAACCATCGCGTCGTCTTGATAATCGACATCGTAGTAGTTCTGCACCTCTGCATCATGTCGCTTTTCATCGGAGTAGCTCTGCATTACCTACGTTGAATTTTGTAGTTGCCCTGCATTACCCTTGTCTTCAAATTGAACTTTAAAGTACTTCTGCTTGATGTATAAAATCTGCAACAAAAAGTTATTTCAAAAAATATAATTTTTTAAATGATGGAAATCCTTCAACTGCGTCTGCACACTTTCTCTGGTTTACTTTCTTGTAAATAATTTAAAGCAATTTAAAAAACTCGATACTATTTATATATCCATACACGCCCATGTGTTCCACATTTTAGTTGGATGAATTTTTGCCACGCGGCGCTACAAACTTTGTACCAATTTTTAATACGTGAGCTTGGACCTCCTGGCATGAACATGAACTATACAGTTTTTTATATATCAGATAATATTCAGCTGTCATTGTTTAATTTTTATATTTGGCACAGAACTTGTTCTTTATTTCAGCAATTGTCGATTATTCGAACTTTTACTGTCTTAAGAATTTAGCTACATTTCTTTATCAACTGCATGTTATGCATTATGAAGCTTTTAAACTAGCATTCGATATTTTTCACACGTGATTGTGTCTTTGGTTATGTTTGGCTTTGTGTTTACGCGACAACATGTTTTCGAACAGAAAGAAAATTTGAGCAGAACTAAACAGAACTCTGTAAATTGAATGTGATTCACTTGTGTTTGTAATAAGTTACGTTCTTACACGATGGATACAGAACGTGAGTATGGTATTAATTCATTATTTGATATTTCGTTTATTTGTTTGTCAACAATCGCTTGTCCTTGGCACGTCTCATTATCAGTAATAGAATAAAATATCGAAAAATTGAATAAAATTGTTTAACATGTAATAATAGGATTACTTAAGAAGAAGAAACGGGTCAAGCGAGATGGCAATCTTCAGCAGTGGGCTGAAGTTGTTAAAGAACTTGGAGACTTATACTTTGAAACTGGAAAGTTAGAAGATGCTTTACAAGAGTATACAGAACAGTTAGAGGTTTGCAGTATCTTAGAAGACAAACTGAACATCGCTGTAGCCCATAGAATGATAGGAGAGATACATGCAGATCGTGGCAACTATGAGGAAGCGTTGAAGTATCAGAACCACTATTTGGGTTTGTTTTTGAAATATGTATGATCCATAAAATTATATGAAACGACTAAAGTAACAAAATTTTTGTGTTAGGTAGAAGGAGCCAAGGAGATAAACAATTTATTAGAGGAACAACGAGCTTATGCTACTCTAGGTAGGACATACTTTTGCTGGGCTGAAAGCTTACCTGAAAAGTCTGAGAAGAAAACTGAAGTTCTCATAAATGCAAAGAAAGCATATGTGAAGAGTATACGACTTTGCAACAAGTATAGTATTTTGTCTTTCGTATTCGTATAATATATAATGGCATAGTGGAGTAAAAATTGTGTTTGATTTGTTAATTGTTTATGTAGATTGGGGGATACAGATATAGACTTGAAAGAATTGATTACAATGCGAGCACGGTTGCTATTAAATCTAGGTTTGGTACTAGAAACTCAGAAGGAGCACCAACAGGCTGTCGATTTAATGGAGAAAGCTGCTGCATTATGCGAAACACATAACTTGCAAGAAGATTTTCATAGAACACAAATTGCTCTGGGTGGAATTTATGATCGGCAACGCAACTATGATTCAGCGTTAAAACACTTTGAAACTGCCACTGAAGTTGATAATCCGTCTTTGAAAGCTGAAGCTCAATTGTTACAAGGAGAATTACTTTTAAGAATGGAAAGATGGAGTGAATCACGCAAGATATTGGTTTCCCTTTATGTTACAGATAACTTACCTCAAAATGTTAAAAACCAAGTAGAAAAAACTCTCAGAATAGGTATGTTTATGAAAGGATATTTTTTTTATAAAACTGAAAAATGTAACATCTTTGTAATAATGAATCTTTTATAGTGGCAACATTGAACGCGACTGAGGAAGCTCTAAAGACAGAAGAAAGTATAAGCGGCAGACTGAAGCTTTACGAAAATCTAGGAGATGCTGCTGTTGCTGTGCATTGTTTCGAGAAAGCCATCGATTATTACAGAAAGATGCTTAAATGCGCGGAAGAAATCAAAAGCGATCGTATAGATGCAGCTTTGTTAAGTCTAGCGCAAACTTTAAAGGATGTAGGACGATACAACGAAGCGTTAGATTTTGCACACAGGGAACTAAAACTTTGCACGGACTCGCGTGAAATTTGTAGATCTGCGTTATTCTTAGCAGATTTATTGGTAGCCACTAAAGCGACGGACGATCAAATTCAAGAAATTTACGATTTAGCTTGGAATAATGCAAAAGTTTGTGCTGATGTTTCTTTGGAAGCGTCCGTCTTAAAAGAACAATTGAATTATTTTATCAACTCTGGAAAAACCGAAGACATAAAAATGATCCAGGAGAAACTGGATATGCTGGAAGAAGCATCCAATTGTTCCGATAGCGAAGACGAGTTAGAAGAAAATGATATTGGTGCAAACATTTGCTTAGAAGATTTGTCGGATGTAGAAACTGAATTGAGAGCTAAAGAAAATGGTAGAATAAATAGAAAACGAACCAAAAGAAAACTGGTTACGATAAAAAAAAATGAAAAGGGCGAAACACTGCTTCACGTAGCTTGCATTAATGGAAATATCGAAGCTGTAGAAAAATTACTGGTGGATGGTCATCCATTGGATGTTAGAGACAATTTTGGGTGGACTCCTCTTCATGAAGCTGCTAATCACGGATTCGTGGAGATTGCCAAGTTATTGTTACAGCACGGTGCGAACGTGAATGATCCTGGAAGCATCATGTGTCAAGGAGTCACACCTCTTCATGATGCAGCATCTTGTGGCAATCTTTCTATGATGAGACTTTTAATGGAACACGGAGCAAATGTGGAACTTGTAGCGAATGAAGATGATACTGTATTAGATTGTTTAGAGCAGTGGAAAGATCGTGTTGATTATTTGTCTTCCGATGACGAAGCTGACTACAACGAAATGCATAAAAGATTGTCTGCTCTCATACCAGCGAACAAAAGGAAGAAATGCAAACAATCAAATAAATCGTCACGCAGTTTAAAAAGTTTAATCGATGATCGGAACAGTAACGTGGAGAAAGTATCCGCTGGTGAAGATTATAAAAGAACTATAGCTAGTTTAAAGCATAGGAGTGACCCAATCGGAGCAACTTTGACTCGTGCTAAACGCATCGTAAATCCACTTTTGAACAACGAGGAGGTCCTTTTGGATGATTGGTTGGAGGACGATATTAACGAAAGCATTAGTGACAAAAGATGTTCAGATGAAAGAAATGTAACTTTAACAATAAAAAGGAAGTCGAGTAACGGTGATATCGATCAAGAGCAGAATTTAAAGCGGCAGAGAACAAAGATTCAAAGTCCTATAGTAAACGATGAAGAACTTGATCTAACAGAGGAAGAAAGTAATGATAGTAGTAATACCGAAATAATCAATTCTTTTGAAGTACGCAAATTTCGGAAGAAAAAACAACAGATGTCTTTATTATCAATTGGTTTTACGAAAGACCCCGTTTCTCGAACACCTTCACCCGTAAACTCTTCTCCCGCGGAATTTGACTTAAAAGAAGCTGATTTGATAATAAAATCTATCATCTTAAATGTTTCTATCGAGGGGAAAGTATTCCAAACACAGGCGGAACTCTCAAATACATCGAAACCATCGGTGCAAAATATTTTAACAGATATCGAAAAGAAATTTTATGATGACAGCGGGTGTAGAGCGAAGCTTGATTTAAAAACTATGAATGGCATCACGATAAATTCCAATAATGTATTTACGATTTTGAACGAAGGAGATATTATTAAGAATTTTAAATGTGAGGTGATTGAATTGGAGACACCGTCCATCGTTGAACGATATAGGACTATTTGTACAACTCATAACATAGGTAACTACTTTTTGTGTAACGCAACCAAGGTCTAAAATATACTTACTTAACTCTTATTACGATTACTGTTAACATTTTCAGATGTTCGTGAATTCATATCAAAGTGTTTGAAGTCGTGCGAGAATACGCTCATCTTACGGTTAAAGCAGGATATCAGTAAAAAAGAACTCGTGTGCGTGTTAAAAACCTTAGAATATCAAAAGAACGTTCAAATATTAGATATGTCCAATAAAGAATTGCACGAAGCAGGGGATATTCTGAATGACTGTATTTTGAAGTTGTCGACCTTGCAAGAATTGTGCCTTCAAGGATGTGATATTGATTCGATGTGTTTAAGTAAATTACAAAAGCTACCCTCGCAACTTAAATTTCTAGATCTCAGTTATAATCCACTTGGATCAGCAAGCGAAGAAGCACTTTGTAAACTCATAATTCCTTTGACTCAACTTCAAACTCTAAATTTACGATATTGTCAACTGCCTAACATCCGATTTCTTTCAAGTAATAGTACCTTGGTGAATTTGGACGTTTCTTGGAATAATTTGAATGGAAATGAACTTTGTTCCTCCTTACAGAGACAGTTGCTTAATTTAAATTTGTCATGTACAGCTGTTTCAACTAAATTTAACTTAGTCAAAAGCATTTTTAATAATACGAATGTTTCGTTCACAAACTTGGAATGTTTAGAGCTCGTTGAATGTGATTTATTGGATTCTAATGTAAGAAATATTTTATCGCAAGCGTCGAATCTTTCTAAACTGGTGCTCAGAGGAAATAGAGACGTAGGTAGCCAATCTTTGAATTTCTTATTAAATCACACACCAACACTGAGACATATCGATATCAGTGGATGTGAAACTATTGCTACGTATCCTGATACAGAAGTATTTATTGAGAATCCAGAAGTTTGTACTTTAATTTCAAGTATGTCTTCTGACGTGTACGAGTGTTGGGTTTGTTTGTGGCGAAGGAAAGGTATTGCGAGAAGATTATCACACAATCTTGTGATTGTTAAACCTATGACGTATTGAGAATTGTTACTTTTACATGTACAGTACTTATATATTTTGTATGCAATTTGTATAGGGTAGTTTATTGGAATACAACATTTTTATACATATAGAACTGGATATTTAACTAATTTTATATAATTTTTAATAAAATGTTTCATTCAAATAATTTTAAAAAGTTATTATTGAGTCTGTATCATTTATGTTAGAAAATGGCACGTGACACAAATGCATCGTTGACTATCAAAGAAATAAATTCCTTCTTATTCTTATGGTAAGCATCCAGTTATATGCATAAAACGCTAGATGACACTAGCATACTGTTTTTGAGCTTCTCCTTACAGGGCAAGATCCACTTACCCCTGGTTCTGCATTCTGGTCGGCTCGGTTCGCGAGCGATTTAAATATTCGAGCTTTCCGACAGCGGACAGCCCTAGTTGAAACATTTCTTCGCACGCGAGCAGGATAAATGAACAAGGATTACAAGTGGAAATATTTATTATAAATCAAAGCTTACATATTATTTAAGTAACAATACTCGCACCTGAGAGCTATGATACCTCAGCTTAAAACAAAAAAAAAACTACTTTCGACTACTAGCGAGCGCGGGACACTAATCTTATCCTAATACTGTATCACTTCATCTATTCCTCAACTGTAAAGTAGAACCTTGATAGCTCACCTTGATCTACAGCTTGTTTAAAAACTTATTATTTTTTAAACAAAAACAAATTATCCAATAAAAACGCAGTATTCGATAAATTAAAGGTATCCAGGTTGAGCTTCTAAAAATCGAAATTTCGACGCAGTAACGCACAAGCCGCCTATGCGTACTTGGTACTTATTTACGTGATTCGTACAGTATACTGGTATAATAATCTCGTCTCGATTCAGATTTCTACGAGCTTCTTAGCCTGGACACATTTCCATTAAATAGTAAAAAACATAAATAAGATAAGAATATTAAAATTGCACAGCTCTTTCACTCTTTCCTTGCAGAAAAAAGGAATTTTCTTTGAGATTCTTAAAGTTAAAAAGAACGATTAATTAAATACATATCTATTACTCCTTGTATTGTTCCATATAAATTTGTATCTCGATTATTTGAGAAATTGAAAGTTAATATTTGTTTGATAATTTTAGTTGTTGGAAGATTAAAAATGATTTCACGGCACTTTCGTTTCGTAAGAACCACATTCAACCATCGCATGTATAACTCAACCAGTACTAATATACCGCCATCCATGACAATCCGGTATGGAGCGTATTTGATCTACACCGGCAAATATTAAAGTAGCAAGCAAGAAGTGAATAGTGAACAGAATTCTCCATTAAATATATAATTTAATTTCAAAAAAATAAAAGTCTAGTTCTAGGCCTTTAAGCTCCCAGGCGCACACTATGCATGTATCGATAAATGCATGTTTCAAAGTAACGAGAGCACACATGAAAATAAAATAAAAACATTTACCATACAATAAGAAAGATTGATGAAGAAGAGGATCGAGACAACTGTCGATCGGTGGGACTAAATGGTCGAGTTATGTCTGTATGTTACAAATAAGAAGAACAAGGTCTATGAACATAAGTGACATGGTTATTCATATACCAATAATCAATATGTAATCCTGAATCTTTTGAACTAGACCAGTCCACTTAACTTTTGTGAAAGTAACTTATATACACATGTGCGACATCTTTGAAATAGTTAAGCAATCTTTCTCTCGTTTTAAAAATCTTTGGAACCTATTCACTGTGACAGTCTTTTTAATAAGTACTATCTAAACTTATTAAAATGTCAATGTAACATGAACAATAATAAAAGTTTTACATACCACTCTATATAAAAAAATTGGATTAATTACTCGACAACTTACTTTCCAATGGGTTTTCATCCATCAATTTTTAATAGTTTACACTCTTCTCAGTTTAGAATTTACACATATAAAAGAAATTGTACAGCAAGTAGCCACTGTAACTAAGTAAGATTATCACAATGAAAAAGGTCAATGACAAGTATTGAATAAAAGTAAATTTCTCAAAATAGACTGTGAAGGTATTAATTATTAAATGAAAAAAATCTTAAATCTATCACGAGGACTCGACTAATTCAAACGATCATCATTCAGTCTTATCATAGCTACGCAACGATTAAACAATTTCAGACTCGATAAAACATTTTACATTCACAGCCAGTTACAATGTTCCTTGGTTTCAAAATAAATGATGTACCACGAAACGAATGTGAAAGAATTATTTGTTTCGTGTTCAAATTGTATAATATTGAACAATATATTTCGCAAAATATTTGAAATAATTTAAACTGAAGCGTTAAAAATCCTTCCTGGATTAATGTCGCAATTCTATAATATGTATTTGTCGTGCCTGCTAGAATCAAATCCAGTAATAAATTAAATATTGCCAATACATATATATACATATAGTTTCTAAATAGGACAGAAAAATGAATGTCATGTCATGATCTTTCCACTGCTCCACTCGTTATCTTTGGTCAACTCCAAAAAATGGACAAGACTGAAAGGAAACTTAATTCTCCATCAGGTTGTTACACTCACTTTTTCCAAAAGGATGACGATATTACTCTCACAATTCTAACGTGCATGATGTGTAAAGAATATATTTAATGCTGAGCGACATACAAACATTTTTCCCTATGATAAATGTAAATCGTTTCATAGTTTCAATTCGAAAAGCTAGCTCATGGAATGATTAACATGTCACCGCGTCTTCTAGAGCATGTATGAGCAACGAAAGGGATATGTATACGCGTATTATGGACTATTCAACAGGCGTGCACACATGTATGTAGATAACGTGTCTGAAACTGCTCGACATTCTGTATGATGCGGAGGATTATTGAATACCATCTCGGTTTTTAGGTCAACAGCTTGCAGTTTTCTCTCTTTTGCTTGTTTATTTCTGTCTGTCGTGATATAATTGTAGTTATGATCTGTTTAGGTTTTGATTCAGATAATGTGTTAACAGCAGGGTAGATCAATTCGTCTCGCAACCTTTTCTATTCCAAACTATCAGCCGCTAGCACGAAGCCATAATCGTTCTAGAGTTAAACGAGCAACACGAGTACTTCGTTATGGTGAGTCTGATTAAAAGCAGTTGGAATGTGCTGTATACGTTAAACGATCCAGATAAAGAACGGACGTCAGTCAATGTTTTTTCAACTAAACAATGCAGAGCCCTTGCATGATCCGACTTGAACATTTTACGTATATTTCTTACATAGTATCCTTTATTGAGTACGAACGAAATACTTCCTGTCCTGAAACAGAAGGAGAATGTTTTCTAAAGAGACCATTCAAACAAAACTCTTTAACGATCTCGTGCCTTCAATATAATTTTTCCCCTTCTTTTTCTTTTTTGGAACGATTCTGTCTGAAAATTGAAGGAACAAGAAATTTTAATTTTGAAAGTTAGAAACTTTCTAAACATTGCTGTCGATTAAAGATATGCGATTTGCTTTCTATTAAAGACACAAGATTCCTAAAAAAAGACTCCGATAAATGTTGCACAAGCTGGGAAAACATAACATAAACTTTTAAATGCATGGCAAGCAGAAATATGATCAAATACCAACATAACATTTACCGTAATCAATTACTGGTCGTTAAAACAAATTTGTATATATACAAGGCAAATGTGAAATAACCCATGCTAACGATACATGGCATCAAAAGAACAGTAATTAATCGTCCTAACAAGGAACGATAACTTGAATCGTATTTATTACAGTTGGAAAGAATGGTCTGCACTCTGATAATATATAAACAAAAGTACGGAAATGGATAATGTGTATATACTGAATGATTACAATTAAAAAGGACTCCTTCATGGAGTAACACTAAAAATATCGAAAAATAATATAAAATATTCCACAAGTATCTACGAATACGCACCTTCTACGGAAATCAGTTATTTTTGTCCTGTTTGTTGTCCAGACGAAATTGTACTCCGGCGACATCCTTATCTAAGTCCCGGCCCACAGAGTACTCAAGTCAAAGCGAAACAAAACGACAACGCAGATATCGAAAAACAACTGGTAACAATGGTAGTTAAGAACACAAATGCGTGCGAGGGAAAGTTAATAATACAAACGCGCTATACGCATTCTCTGCTTTGTGCAAAAGGAAACATATTCCTTACGAATAATATGTTATAACGAAAAAAAAAGAAAAAACAAAATAGACACATAGAATATAAAAGTTCTGTACACTATACACTCTTAAATGTGAATCGAATAACAATTAAAAACTTGTTTCGTTTGGAAAATAATTTATTCGTTCGTTTGTTAAAGTATCAAGGCACTACTTATATTAAATTATCCAGTTCGTAGTCGTCGATTGCGAATTCAAACATTATACTATAATATATTAAATAATAAAGCAACAATTTTGTTTCCTTGTTTGAATGGAGTAATTTAACGTATCATCTATGGTACTGGAAAATGAATGAAATGAGATATAAGGTGCCTCGAAGGATACAAACACCCTTCGCATGCTTTTGAGATCGTTTTAAAATAGACTTATGCCATAACTTTACTACTCATTTGTTACAGAAATGGAAAGTAATTAAAAATGTAATACAGTGTAATTTCCATGAATTAAACCTAGGCAACTCTGACTTGTGTGTGTGTGTGTGTGTGTGTGTGTGTGTGTGTGTGTGTGTGTGT